GATATTACAGAGCCCCCAGTAATGTGTAGTGTGTACTGGGATACAGTATTACAGAGCCCCCAGTAATGTGCAGTGTGTACTGGGATATTACAGAGCTCCCAGTAATGTGCAGTGTATGCTGGGATATTACAGAGCCCCCAGTAATGTGCAGTGTGTGCTGGGATATTACAGAGCCCCCAGTAATGTGCAGTGTGTACTGGGATATTACAGAGCCCGCAGTAATGTGCAGTGTGTACCGGGATATTACAGAGCCCCCCCCCCTGTAATGTGCAGTGTGTACTGGGATATTACAGAGCCCCCAGTAATGTGCATTGTGTACTGGGATATTACAGAGCCCCCAGTAATGTGCAGCGTGTACTGGGATATTACAGAGTCCCCAGTAATGTGCTGTGTGTACTGGGATATTACACAGCCCCAGTAATGTGCAGTGTGTACTGAGATATTACAGAGTCCCCAGTAATGTGCTGTGTATACTGAGATATTACACAGCCACCAGTAATGTGTAGCATGTACTGGGATATTACAGAGCCCCCAGTAATGTGCTGTGTGTACTGGGATCAGGGCTGCCATCAGAAATTGTGGGGCCCCTGACACAGCTCAAGGTCTGGGCCCCCCGCTGCCTGCACCCGAGTCCGCCCAAAGTGCTGCAAAATAATATACTAGATTGCCTACTTACAACCAGATGAGGATGATGATGGGCTCTAGCTCCCGTCTGGCTCCACTGGTCTGGTGTAGAACAGGCTCCCTGGAGGCGGTTTGTAACTGTGGTCACAAAAATCAATGTTCTGGTATCAACTGGAAGCAGCTCCATTTTTTGAGGGCCCTTTACACAGCTCAAGGTCTGGGTCCCAGGATCCACCTTCATGTTCCACCAATGAGTTTGTTCACAGGGGGTGGAGTGTGTGTGTGGGGGGGATGTCCTGATATGTGTAAGGGATGCATTGTGTGAATCTGTGTTTGTATGTGTAAGGGCTGCAAGGTGAGTTTGTGTATGTATGGGATATTACAGAGCTCCCAGTAATGTGCAGTGTGTGCTGGGATATTACAGAGTCCCCAGTAATGTGCAGTATGTACTAGGATATTGCAGAGCCCCCAGTAACATGCAGTGTATATAATGAAGCTGAGACTGGTGTATGTTATACATATATGTACATACATAAAACATATTTTACTCCACCATATAGCTACAACAGACACATTCAGGCTCTGCCTAAGAGGGAGATAGATAAAATGTTTATCAGTGTGCAGTAGACGCTGACAATAGACATAAAATAAGCACAGAACTGACTTTTGGAAATCTGTTCACAACTGCCAATCACTTGTGAGGGGTGTGTAATTAGCTATCTGCACAAAAGTGCAAATAACTCTGTATGTGCAGTGTTTAACCCCTTAAGGACCAAACTTCTGGAATAAAAGGGAATCATGACAGGTCACACATGTCATATGTCCTTAAGGGGTTAAAGCAGAAATACTGCACATTTTGATTCCTAAAAAGCAGAGGCATTCATGGATGTTGGAGGAACCCTTTATTTGGGCTGAACTGCAGCCTTTGTCAAACCCACTGTTATGTGTATGAAAAACAAACAAAAACACTTTTTATATGTTTTAAGTGAACAACTTGAAATATATATATTTTTTTCTGTCCAAGTGTATATAGCAAGTAATCCATTCTTAGTAAAAAAATTAACTTTTAAATGTATAAAATAAACGACAAATTGCAATCTGTCAGGTGATATTTATCAACATGTTAATGGCTGCCAATGAGCTTTTAATTATGTTGAATCGTTCTCTTACCATCGCTAATTTTCTCTGCACCAATCACAAAGCCAGTCAAAAATGTAATAATTACGTTATTAGTAACCGGGAGTTAGATGTACGTTGGGAAATGTTACATTCTTATGACCTAGCGAGAGGAAGGATAATAAAATATAATAAACCAAAAGAAAATGATAAAAGGTTGATTAAAAAAAAAACATTAACAATTTATGTAACAGTATTTACTGTCCTTTTTATTGTAAGTTCTGGTTTAGTTTCTTGTTAAAAATTACAAAGCGTATGGAATATGGAAATTGTGAATAAGTTGAACACCATCCATCACAGCTCTCGGGATATACATAATAACACAGCTGTCTGTTTTTTGTTTGTTTTATTAAGTACTTTACATCTTACGCAGAATTAATGCTCATGTACATTGTGAATCTTAACATTTATTTAAAAAAAAAAAAACATTTCCATTAACCATACAGATAACAGACTAAAAGACTAAAAACAGACTAAAAGAACTGATTAAAGAACATAGTCCGAGTAAATCCCTGTAAAACAAGCCCTTTACTGGCCTAAATTTTACTTAAAATGATCATTAATGATTTTGCGCAATCACATGATACGATTAAAATGTTTACTTTTATCCTATTTTGATAGGACATTATTAAAAAGTCAACATTTTAAAAGTGAATCAAATCTCAGATGCTCCTTAAAACATTATTCGTAAGGGCCTAGCTATCAAAATATTTCCTCAAATATATACAAGATTATTTAATATTGCTAACTTTACATTTTACGTAACAAGGCAATTGCGTTACTATGCAAAAAAGTGACATTCTTATTCAATACTATGCTATGTTATAGTTCCAGGTATTACACAAAAAGGTATGAAACTATGGGCAATCAGGATCTGAATAGAACCGATTTTGTAAGTAACTATTCATATTATTGTACATTTTCTCCTGATAGTTCTCGGAAAAATGTATACAGTTTGCATTCTTTATGGTGCCAGGACTTGTTTGATGACTAGATATCTTTGCCATTTTTCTGTCACAGCATTTATCGTCAACATTCCCAAAGAAAGTTAAAAAAACTGGCAGAAAAATCAAGCCGTGGAGCATTCCAAATCCGATAACAAGAAATATGATCTTAAAAAATGTTCTAAAGATGTAACTCTCAGATGTTGAAAGTACAATCACTCCCAAGATAGTCGATAGACCTCCCTGCAAAATGGGATAACCGAGGGACTGCAAGGCATCGATAATTCTGTCATTTGCATTTGGTTTCTTGTTGGAAACATAAGAGTATGAAATATGAGCTGAGAAGTCAACTGAGAACCCGATGCAAATAACAAGGTTGATCATTGATATGCAATCTAAATTTATTCCCCAGAAAGTCATAAAACCAGTGACGCCAACTATGATAGAAGCAATTGCAAAAGTCACCCACAGTGCACAGAGTGGATTTGGAATTAAAAGTAACGATATAACAAACATAACGGCGGCAGCCACAAGGATATTTTGAATAGTGTTTTGCATAATGACAGTGTACTGGTCAAAGTATATAAATGCTGAGTGATATACCAATAATGGAATATCGCAGTCCTTTGCAATGTCTCGGAGCTGGTTTAACATATTCTTTTCATCAACGGCAGTGGTTACATTAACAGTTTGGATGAAAAAACGTGATGCCTGAATGACATCTGACTGAATCTGAATATCTTGTTGAAAATCTGGGAAAATTAGAAATAATTTGTGCAGATTACCCATAAAATAAACATTATGATCAATTTTTAATTGATCTGCAATAGTAATGTATACATTAAGCCATGACTCAGAAAATGTTTTGCTAACATAGGAATTGTTTTCAAATGATTCCATGCAACTTTTAATCTGGTTCCGTACATCTGGATCCCAGTATGAGACTTCTTCAGTTACCGCAACCATAACTGTCGGACCATATTCTGAAAAGTATTCTTTCTCTTTTTCATAAAATGGAGCTACGTAAGAATTGTCAGGAGCCAAATTACTCAGGTTAATTCCTTCCTTTACTTGAAAACATCCATAAATGCTAATGGCTAGATATCCACCATATAGTATGACCACAATACCTTTGGTCCAAATGTTTGAAAGGAATGGTCCATAATATCTATAAAAGAAGCTGGTAGCAGGATGTTCGATCTCTTTACCCGTGGTTTGGTCATATGCTCCCCCAACACAGCATGCTCTGTATAGAACAGAACTTTCATTGTTCACACTATTTTCTACCTTTGTGCAAGCTAACCAATGTCTATTGCTCTCTTCTCGCCTGCCATTGAGAGCCAAAAATCCCCCAAAACATGTGATATTATAGATGAAGCAAAATAATATGGCAGTTCCAGTATAAATACAAAAGGACTGGACTGATCCAAATGTTGTCATAATTCCTATGTAGAAAGCAAGAACATCAGTTAAAGTAGTTATAGTTATGGAGACTGCTGCTTCTGCATATGTGTTCCCCATTCTTTCTTCAAGTGTACTCTTAACGTTTGTTTGAATCCAACTGGAAATCATTATGAACATATCATCCACTCCAACCCCTAGACAAAAAAATACATGTAAAAAAATATACATATGGTAAAGGTATAACTTTACACTTCAGTTGCAGATACATGAGGCATACTAGGGCAAATGAACACCCAAGAAAACGAAGAACTTATGCCTGGCTGGTAATATGGCAAAGGTTGGTCGCAGGAACCGCACTCACTCCCAACGGCCACGGGTGCTCTGGAACAGGGCCAGCAATCCCAACACGATAAGGCAATAAGAAAAATTCACAGGCACTCCAAATGTGAAAGCCGTAGGAATATTTATTGCAACAAAATGCACAGCAACGTTTCGACCTAACAAGCTTGACAAAGACCTCTTGTTAGGGCGACACGTTGCTGTGCATTTTGTTGCAATAAATCTGCCTGCGTCTTTCACATTTGGAGTGCCTGTGAATTTTTCTTATTGGCTGGTAATATGAGCTGACTGAACGTCCATCTCCCATACCTAAAGCATGGTATTATTGTGATTCAATTGCTTAGGAATAATTATAATTGTATAAACATGTTTCTTTTGTATAATGGCACATGCAGTCTCCAATGCATTTTGGCTTTCACAGTCACAAATATTAAAAATAAACAGATTTAAAAGAGCAGCATCTCCTTAATGGTACTCTATATGTATTTCTTAATCGTGATGGCATGCACTTACCTAGAATAAGGAATGGGGCATTGGCTACTGTGATCACAAATGGGACACCACACAGTAAGAGCAAGCCAAAACTGGTCAGAACGGCTAACCCTGATGAAATTACTCCAAATGCAGCAACCCATACTTTGCTTCTTACACAGTCAAGTCTAAAAAAAAAAAAAAAAAAAAAAGAGACATCAAACACTATATAAAGTGTTAAAGGTTAAAGACAAATGGCATTATTGTCTTACAAGAAAATACAAATGGAGGGCAAGGAGTCTGTTTACCTTCTTCATACATCCCAATGTTGGTAAATGTGGATGCAGGACTGGTGATGGGGGTACCACAAGAGGGATGTCGATGAAGTGCTCTGCTGCCCTGAAATGGGACAGGCCTATCAGCATAGGGGAGTTATGCCGGCTTGGTGAGCATGTATGCAAGGCTGACAGTCTCTTAGATGAACTCACTTAGGGCAGGCTTCTAGTGAAATCTAATTTTCTCAATGCCCTGAAGTTCACTGCTTGAAGATCTTCATATTCCTCAGTTTGGTCAGACAGGGAACTAGAGTGGAAGAGGTGGGGACTGAGCCTCATATACAGAAACTCTGGCCACTTTCTGTGTGCTACTCAGAACTCCCTGTCCGATAAGGAACTCCACCTCCAGGAATATGCTGTCCTCATGAACAGGAAGCCCCTAAACAAGCTCTGAGCAGGCTCAGTCCGGTGTCTGGTTATTATGAACCTTTGGCTAAGGTTAACTCTTCCACAGTTCCTGACCCAGAACCAGATCCTGTTCCTGCAATGCATACCTGGTCCTACCCTGGTCCCAGCATTAATGGATCTTCCAACTACTTGAACTTGGCTTGGGTTACCCATTATTGACTTTTTTTGCCTGCTCTGACATTGGACCATCTCATATATTTTTTTCTGCTCCTCTTGAACACCTCGCTTGGCTTTTGTTTTATTAATAAAGCTGCAATGCCACCACAGATCTCCTAGGATCCTACCCTTATTTCCTGATTTCCCTAAAGGTTGTGCTTGTAAGGGTGTATTGTTTGCTTCTATTGGGTTCTAGCTCCTAAACTGCCTTCCAGGTCAGTGACACATAAAAGAAGTAAGGAGGTGGTTGAGAGACAATCAAGGAGAAAGAAAGGGTTAAAAACATGCACGGGAAAAAAGGAAGTTAGGAGTAACAAAAGATATGGGGGAGCTAAGACACACAATGTACAGGGAGTGCAGAATTATTAGGCAAATGAGTATTTTGACCACATCATCCTCTTTATGCATGTTGTCTTACTCCAAGCTGTATAGGCTCGAAAGCCTACTACCAATTAAGCATATTAGGTGATGTGCATCTCTGTAATGAGAAGGGGTGTGGTCTAATGACATCAACACCCTATATCAGGTGTGCATAATTATTAGGCAACTTCCTTTCCTTTGGCAAAATGGGTCAAAAGAAGGACTTGACAGGCTCAGAAAAGTCAAAAATAGTGAGATATCTTGCAGAGGGATGCAGCACTCTTAAAATTGCAAAGCTTCTGAAGCGTGATCATCGAACAATCAAGCGTTTCATTCAAAATAGTCAACAGGGTCGCAAGAAGCGTGTGGAAAAACCAAGGCGCAAAATAACTGCCCATGAACTGAGAAAAAGTCAAGCGTGCAGCTGCCACGATGCCACTTGCCACCAGTTTGGCCATATTTCAGAGCTGCAACATCACCGGAGTGCCCAAAAGCACAAGGTGTGCAATACTCAGAGACATGGCCAAGGTAAGAAAGGCTGAAAGACGACCACCACTGAACAAGACACACAAGCTGAAACGCCAAGACTGGGCCAAGAAATATCTCAAGACTGATTTTTCTAAGGTTTTATGGACTGATGAAATGAGAGTGAGTCTTGATGGTCCAGATGGATGGGCCCGTGGCTGGATTGGTAAAGGGCAGAGAGCTCCAGTCCGACTCAGACGCCAGCAAGGTGGAGGTGGAGTACTGGTTTGGGCTGGTATCATCAAAGATGAGCTTGTGGTGCCTTTTCGGGTTGAGGATGGAGTCAAGCTCAACTCCCAGTCCTACTGCTAGTTCCTGGAAGACACCTTCTTCAAGCAGTGGTACAGGAAGAAGTCTGCATCCTTCAAGAAAAACATGATTTTCATGCAGGACAATGCTCCATCACACGCGTCCAAGTACTCCACAGCGTGGCTGGCAAGAAAGGGTATAAACACACAGATATCCCCCTAACATAGCTATAACTAAAAACAAACTAAAAACTACTTCCAAAAATATTTAGCTTTGATATTAATGAGTTTTTTGGGTTCATTGAGAACATGGTTGTTGTTCAATAATAAAATTAATCCTCAAAAATACAACTTGCCTAATAATTCTGCACTCCCTGTATAAGAGTGGATTAAGAGATGTACAAAGTGTTAAGAGGGGGATAGAAGACACACACAAGAAGAGTCAGGAGATCCACAAGAGGATGTGGGAGGTGCATAGAAATACAACAGGAATAGACTGATACACAAAAAATAAATAACAGGAGTAGACTGCCACACACACACACACAAAAAAAAAATCCCCTCTCGGGTGTCAAAAAACCTTGGTACGACTCTGGTCATTGTGGCTCCTAAGGCTGACAAGAGGATTTGCCCATTTCTAATTGACATTGTAGGTAAGTCTCATTATAAAATAGTAAGTATGGGTATGGGGGGGTCATTCAGCATGAGAGGGCTAGTAAATTAGGACTGGAGGACAAGTAAAAAAAAAAAAAAAAAGGTATTTTTTGTGCACAAGAGCAACAGACCTTAGGATGGAATTGAGGTCCCCAATGCTCTTCTACGAGGAGCATTGTATTTGACCACACCATGGGAGGTGGAGAGGTAAGCAGCAAAAGGAAAGCCCTAGCACTAGAGAAAAGTAACTAAAGCTTTATTTTTTTAAAAACACGTTTACTGTCTATTAGGGGGTTTGCAGGGGGGGAGACCTGAATACTCTTATAGTTTCCGTTAAGGTTATATTAACCCCTTTTTGTTTTAACTTTTTTGTTATCCCCCCTACATATAAAACAAAAAGGTCAAAGTCACAACATACTTGTCTAATGTGACTAGTGATTTGCAGTATCAGTTTGATACAATGAATTTTGCTATTTTGGCCATATAGTCATTTGAAAAACACAAGAAACTGCACGCTTGATAAATAATTAAACCCATTTTTTCTTCTGTAGTTACACATAATCAGTGAAATAAAAAATAATTAAAAAAACATAGTCTCACAAGACAACAATTTGCACTCTCTAAAGCTTATTAATGGAATATGCTTTCAGAAAACTATAGTTACCTGAGGCATGATATAATGGAAAACGTTATAGTGACAAAATATGTGATGGAATATAAAGAGATCACGGATGTTGTGGAGCCTTCAAATTCTTGCTGCCTGGACACTGAGGTGAAATAGGAAACCTGGTTTTAAAATAAATAAATAAACAAATGTATATAAAGGGTTATTTGCCTATTTTTGCATTATACACTGTAGCATATACGTTCAAATATTTATATACCCTTGATTTAATTTTTCAGCTCACAATTTCACTTTTAAAATTGATTTTATATTTTGAAAACTATTTTTATAATATTTTGACATTTTATTTATTTATGATGTTTTTTTTTTATATTATAATATTTTTTTTTAAAATATTTTGATAGTTTATCCAAAAAATATTAAACAATTTGAAAATATTAAATTGATGCCATATTTGATATACTGTATTAGCAAAGGTATAGATTATACAGAAATTTTACTAGTCCAAGAGCTGTTCCTGGGGAGGTTGTGGAACAGGTGCTCTGCAGATAGGCAGGGTGTGCAGTGCTCAGCTCCAACCCCTCAGGTAGATCCCACCTCTCTTGTTAGACCCCACCTCCAGTACCACCCAGGAACGATTGTGTGGGGTTGGGGGCATGGTCAAATGAGAGGAGTTGGCTATACCTGGGTGGGCAGAGCCTATCTATAGGGCATCTGGGCATCCACCCAGGATCGGCTCTGACAAGTCCTATATTTTACAGTCCAGGGGTAACGAATTATTGTACAGCATGTATAGAAGGAAAGGGTGCTAAAGGTATTTAAACCACTATAAGTGGTATAAATCACAGTTATATGCTAAATACCCGCACTCCTATTATCAATATATAAAAAAATAAACTTTATTACATGATCAATATATCTAAAAAATAATGTCAATCTATGTACACCAGTAATAGTACAATCCATAAATAAAAAAAATCAATATAGATGTAATGCATTCATTTACATAGTATCAACAATAATCATACAAGTAAATCATATGTATATAGTACAACAGAATGGAACACAAATAGTTATTAAAGAAAAAGCATGTGAAAATTATACTAATGGCTGTACAAAGTTACTTTACCTATTCAGTGAAAAAGGGATACTACAATCACCAAACGTTTCAGTGCAGCAGGCCTTTGTCAAGGGTGTCCTACATTTTGCCAGTCAGTATATTGAAATAGTGATGTGCTTCATAAAATAATTTAGAACATTTCCTCATCTTTACCGTAATTTTCTTTTCCTGGGTATATCCATGGCAGCATCACAATAGGGTTAGCGTTGCCCACTTGGCTATTTAAGATATATTATCAGTAGGACATCCCCTCTATGTGTCTCCAGTCTTGTAACATGCTCAAAGGTCTAGAAGCAAATTTAGAAGAGAAGGGAGGGAAAAACTGATGCTGCCATGTATATTCCCAGGAAAAGAAAATTATGGTAAGTATAAGGACATTTTCTAAATTCCTGGCTAATCCTTTGCAGCATTACAATAGGGTAATACCCACGCTAATCTTAGGGGAGGTAGAATTTTTTTTTTAGGAGACTGAGGTTATAATACTCATTGAAAAAATGTTATTTGTCCAAAAAAATTAAATAATTGTTGGACTATCCTTTCTACCAAATTCAGTGGGTTTCTGAGATTGTATATGCAACACATAAAGACCACTTAGCAGCTCTACATATGCTCTCAATAGGAGTGTTAGTTGCAGCTGTCCATGATGCTGCCAAGGACCTTGTGGAATGTGCCTTTAAACTGGAAGGAACCAGAACCTCTTGGGCCTGATATGCAGATGAGATGGCCACAATTATCCAACGGCTTACAGTAGGCTTTGAGGCGACAAGTCCTCTGTTATGCTGGTAAAGTTTAGTAAAAGTATTGATGACTGTCTCCAATTTGCTGTCTTAGCTAGGTAGATCGAAAGACATTTGGCTACATCCCGGGGGTGAAATCTCTCTTCTTCTTGATTAGAAGTAGTGATGTCGCGAACCCGAAATTTTCGGTTCGCGAACGGCGAACGCGAACCTCCGCAAATGTTCGCGAACCGGCGAACCGCCCGAAACGCCATTGACTTCAATGGGCAGGCGAATTTTAAAACACACAGGGACTCTTTCTGGCCACAATAGTGATGGAAAAGTTGTTTCAAGGGGACTAACACCTGGACTGTGGCATGCCGGAGGGGGATCCATGGCAAAACTCCCATGGAAAATTACACAGTTGATACAGAGTCTGGTTTTAATCCATAAAGGGCAGAAATCACCTAACATTCCTAAATCACAATGAATATGGATTGACACCTGACATATGACATATTGACACCTTGACATATGGATTGACACCTGTCCTCAGAGCCCCTGATGCACACGGACACAGAGCAGAATAGAGACTGGTCCCCCTACATAGGGTCACTCTTGGTGATATGATTGACACCTGTCCCTCAGAGACCAAGTGATACACACTGACACAGAGCAGAATAGGGACTGTTCCCCCTACATCGGTCACTTGGCAGATAAGTGTAGATTGTATTACCCCCTGATACACACTGACACAGACTAGAATAGAGACTGTTCCCCTACATAGGGTCACTTGGCACATATGGATTGACACCTGTCCTCAGAGACCATAATACACACTGACACAGAGCAGAATAGAGACTGTTACCCTACATAGGGTCACTTGGCAGATATGGATTGACACCTGTCCTCAGAGACCATGATACACACTGACACAGAGCAGAATAGGGACTGTTCCCCTACATAGGGTCACTTGGCAGATATGGATTGACACCTTGTTACAAACTGCTATTTGTAACGGGCCCTTTAAATGGCAAATTGCCCTGCTTCCCTGGGTTGTGGAGAAGCCTATTTGCCAGCCTCCTCCCGCATGACTATGGCCCCTGGGAGATTGTGAAAATGTATGCACTTTTATTTGGTGTGTATGGCCCTTTAAGACTGTCGGTGGGCATATTGAGGCTTATGGACTCTTTATGTGACTGGTGCTGGCCCTTTAAACACCTTTTTTGGGACATCAGGAAGATTGGGACACTGCCCCTTTAAGGCCGTGTCCCCAGACTTGTTGGGGACACGGCCCCTTTAAGACGGTGTCCCCTGTGTCCCCAGACCTGGTGCAAACCCTTTGTGCCTGCCTGGCTATTTCCCACTTGGTTCAGTAAATGGGGCTTACTGAACCAAGTACCACACAAGCAGACCACCCAGAAGTGGAAGTGTGCAGGCAATTTACCTCCCAGAAGCTGCGGTTAACCGCAGCTTAATTGACAATGCTGGGAGGTCTTTGTTAGTTTGCCGAACACGTGGCGGCGGCCATCTTTGATCATTCGACGAGGTCAGCGGTATGTGTAGCCAAATTCATGGAACTAAAATCGGCTACACATTTCCGCGAACACCGCTGAGCTCTACCTTCTCCCCTACTGGTTTTACAGTTGCAGAGACTAAGTCCCATTCGGCGATGGGACTTAGTCGTTTTTTCAGCCTGAAATAGACCGACCTCACAGCCCAAATCTATGGAACTGTTTTGGGCAGGAAAATGTGCTTGCGGTCGGTCATAAAGGGACCTCCAGCTAACTTTTTAACCCCTGGATGGATTTGGCTGATTTTTGGTTATGTTTATGTTTTAAGTGTGCTGATTCCAAATATGTAATTATGAAGATGGGATGTGTAGTTTTAAAGTTACAGTGTATGGCTAAAAACTGTATTTTACTGCCTGTGTTTAATTATGTTAATCTCTTCCCAAACGTCATTTCGTTCAAAGTGGAGAGAATGTTAAAAAAATATATTTTTGTTCGGAGTGTGAGAAATGCTTTTCAGCCGCTTCTAATCTTAAGCATCATTTGAGGAGCCATACAGGAGAGAAACCTTATTTGTGGTGTGTTTAGTATTGTTCTGATCAGTTTAATACCTTCCGCGTCTCCTATCAGTGGACGTGTATATGGCAGCCATTTTAGGAACCGTACACCTGGGACCCGAGCAAGGTCACCTCGTTCAACAGGCTTGCAGCGTATCCTCCAGGAAGAAGAGCCTGAACCCTTACCGGCTGCACGTGTCTTACCTGTACATGGAAAGCTGCTGTGGTTCCTTGATGAGCCAGCTGCCCGTGAGTTAACATGTCCCGTGGAGAAGCACTCTGTCCTGTAAAGCCTCACCAAAAAAAAGGAGTGGTGTGTTTAGTATTGTTCTGATCAGTTTAATACCTTCCGCGTCTCCTATCAGTGGACGTGTACACGGCATTGATTTTTGTAACAGGGAGATGGAAGAAGAGGCATGGTCGGTCCTCTTACTACAAATTTGGGGCACTGCGCGGTCAAGCTAATGTGACACCAGATAGAAGTGGTGTGTTTAGTACTATTTTTATCAGTTTAATACCTTCCGCGTCTCCTATCAGTGGACGTGTACACGGCATTGATTTTTATCTAAGCCGTAAACATTTCACAGCGAAGTATATTCACTGCCATTGAAAAGGAGTGCATGGCGGTGTTGTGGGCCCTCAAAAAGCTGCAACCTACTTGTATGGACAACCGTTTACCTTACTCACAGATCACAACAAATTTGGGGCACTGCGCGTGCAATCTAATGTGCCACCAGATAGGAGTGGTGTGTTTAGTACTATTGTTATCAGTTTAATCACTGTTACGCCCCCTATCCGTTGATGTGGAGCAAGACGCAGCAGCAGAAGAGGACTAAGCCGAGGAGGTTATGGAAGAGGATGGAGTAGGAGGAGTAGAGGAGGTGGCAGCGTACTGGCAGAGTACACGCTGTAGGGCTGACACACCTGCTTGAAGATAACTAACTGCTATTCAATCTATAACAGTGAAAAAAGTTTTTTGTTTTTAAATCCAAGCTATTGTGACACCAGTGAGTGAGTGGTGGCACTGGGCACAGTATCCACTGTGAGCCTGACACACCCGCTTTGAGACAACTAACTGCTATTCAATCTATAATTGATGTTTGTTTCACAGGCAGAAAGTGCCCTAAAACATGGCGGCTTGAACCCTAGTTGGTGGCGGATCAGTCACGCAAGTCAACAGGCATTCAGAGCTAAAATACAGCAGCGTGTGGACCATTTTTAGCCCAAGGCAGCTCATCTCATCAGGCCTTTTTTAAT